CCAAACCAGTCCAAAAAACTCCGATTTTGCCCCATTTTCCGTCCGTTTTTATCCGCGCGTCACTGATGCGCACGCGCCAAACCCCACTCTCCCATTGGCCGATTCACTTCCCGCCTCTCCCGTTGACCCCGCCCACTTAAGGGCAGCCCGCACTCAAAATGGCGCCGCCCACACTTTACCGCACTGCGCATGCTCTGTTTGCCATTGACCAATCAGAAGCCGCGCTTTCGGCGGGAACGCCCCCTTTGCCCTCAAGCCCCGCCCTTCTTCCCCGTTCCCTCACGGAGGCCGCCATGATGGCGGCGGCGACCCCGCGGCTGCTCCGGGCCCTCAGGGCTCAGGTGAGGCGGGAAATTTCGGGTTTTATTTATTTTTTATTATTTTGGGGGGTGCTCGTGACGTCAAAACATAAATTTTTTATTCCCACGCAGAGGTTTCGGGGTCCCGTTTGGTGCTGCGGGGTCGTGAGGGGGGCGGCGAGCGGAGCGGGGCAGGTGAGCGCTTTAAATGGAAATTTGGGGTTAAATTCTAAATTTTTGGGGTCTTCGGTGGGGAATTTGGGTGAAATTTGGGGATTTTGGGTAAAATTTGGGGATTTTTGGGTCAAATTTGGGGGTTTTTTTGGGTGCTGAGGTGCCGTGAGGGGAGCGGGGCAGGTGAGCGCTTTAAATGGAAATTTGAGGGAAATTTGGGGTTAAATTTGGATTTTTTGGGGTCCTGGTTGAGAAATTTGCGGGTTTTTGAGGGAAATTTGTGGTTTTTGGGGTCAAATTTGGGGGTTTTGGGGTCAAATTTGGGTTTTTTTGGGTCAAATTCGGGGTTTTTTGGTGCTGAGGTGCCGTGAGGGGGAGGAGCGGGGCAGGTGAGCGCTTTAAATGGAAATTTGAGGGAAATTTGGGGTTAAATTTGGATTTTTTTGTGTTTTAGGCTGAAAATTTGGGGATTTTGATGGAAATTTGGGGGATTTGGGTCAAATTTTGGGATTTTTTGGGTCAAATTCGGGGTTTTTGGGTGCTGAGGAGCCGTGAGGGGGAGGAGCGGGACAGGTGAGGGGATGGAGAGAAATTTGGGAATTCTGAGGGGAAAATTCGGATTTAAGGAGAATTTGGGATTTAATTTGGGTTTTTTGGGGGTCTTGGGTGGAAAATTTGGGGTTTTTGGGATAAATTTGGGGATTTTGGGTGCTGAGGTTCCGTGAGGGGAGCAGGGCAGGTGAGGGGATGGGAGAGAAATTTGAGGGAAATTTGGGGTTAAATTTGGGTTTTTTTGGGTTTTGGCCAGAAAATTTGGGGGATTTTGGTCAAATTTGGGATTTTTGGGTCAAATTTAGCATTTTTGGGTCAAATTTTGGGGTTTTTTGGGTGCTGAGTTTCCTTGAGGGGAGCGGGGCAGGTGAGCGCTTTAAATGGAAATTTGAGGGAAATTTGGGGTTAAATTTGGATTTTTTGGGGTCCTGGTTGGGAATTTGCGAGTTTTTGAGGGAAATTTGGGTTTTTTTGGGGTCAAATTTGGGGTTTTTGGGTCAAATTTGAGGGTTTTTTGGTGCTGAGGAGCCGTGAGGGGGAGGAGGAGGACCGGTGAGGGATTTGGAGAGAAATTTGGGAATTCTGAGGGAAAAATTCGGATTTAAGGAGAATTTGGGATTAAATTTGGATTTTTTGGGGGTCTTGGCCGGAAAATTTGGGGATTTTGGGTTAAATTTGGGTCAAATTTTGGGTTTTTTGGGTGTTAAAAGTGTCGTGAGGGGGGAGGGGAGCGGAGCGGGACTGATGAGCGCTTTAAATGGAAATTTGTGGGAAATTTGGGGTTAAATTTGGATTTTTTGGGGTTTTGGGCAGAAAATTTGAGGGATTTTGGTCAAATTTGGGATTTTTGGGTTAAATTTGGGGGTTTTGGGTCAAATTTGGGGTTTTTTGGGTCAAATTTGGGTTTTTTTGGGTGCTGAGGTTCCGTGAGGGGGAGGAGCAGGGCAGGTGAGGGGTTTGAAGTGAAATTTGGGGTTAAAATCGATTTTTTGGGGTTTTGGCCAGAAAATTTGGGGGATTTTGAGGGAAATTTGGGGATTTTGGGTCAAATTTGGGATTTTTTGGGTCAAATTTGGGTTTTTTTGGGTCAAATTTGGGGATTTTTTGGGTGAAATTTGGGGGTTTTTGGGTGAAATTTGGGGTTTTTGGGTCAAATTTGGGGATTTTTTGGGTGAAATTTGGGATTTTTTAGGTCCAATTTGGGGGTTTTTTGCATTCAATTTTTGTTTCTTTTTGAGTCAAATTTTTAGGGCTTTTGGGTTCAAATTCTGGGATTTTTTTTGGTTCAAATTTTATTTTTTTTTAAATTAAAATTCTTCATTTTTCCTTTTTCTAACCCAAATTTCTCCTTTTTCCCCCACAGGCCCCTCCCTTTTCCTCCCTCCCCCCCAAAACCCCCGAAAACCCCGAAATTTTGGGACAAAACCCCGAAATTTTGGGACAAAACCCCGAAATTTTAGGAAAAAATTCTGAAATTTCCTCAAATTCCACCCAAATTTTGGGTGAAAACCCTGAAATTTTGGGAAAAAACCCCGAAATTTTGGGAAAAAACCCTGAAATTTTGGGAAATAACCCCGAAATTTTGGGAAAAAATTCTGAATTTTTAGGAAAAAACCCCGAAATTTCGTCGAATTCTTCCGGAATTTTGGGTGAAAATCCCGGAATTTTGGGGGAAAATGGGGGAATTTTGGGGGAAATTCCGGGAATTTTGGGAGAGCCGCGATTGGTGGATTTGGGGCTGGGAGGCTCCACCCCCGTGGGAATGATCCAGAACCTTCTGGAACGGCTGCACCTCGACCTGGGGCTGCCCTGGTGGGGAGCCATCGCTGCAGGTGGGAAAAATTGGGAATTTTGGGGAAAATGTGGGAATTTTTGGGGTTTTGGGAGGGTTTTGGGGAAAAAAAATGGGGTTTTTAGGGGAAAGAATGGGATTTTTGGGGGGGAAAATGGGGGTTTTGGGAGGATTTTGAGGGAAAATTTGAAATTTTGGAGGAAAATTTGGGATTTTGGGAAAAAATGGGGATTTTAGGAAAAAAATGGGGGTTTTTAGGAAAAAATTTGGGGTCTTGGGAGGAAAAAAATAAACTTTTAAGAGCAAAATTGGGATTTTCGAAATTTTGGCAGGAAAATTTGGGATTTTAGGGATAAAAATGGGGTTTGGAGGGAAAATTGGGGGTTTTGGGGAAAAATTTGGCATTTTTGGGAGCATTTTAAGGGAAAATCGGGGTTTTGGAGGGAAATTTGGATTTGAAGGAAAAAAATTCAGTTTTTGGTAGAAATTTTCGCGTTTTTGAGCAGAACTTTGGTGTTTTTTGCTGTAATTTCGCCGTTCCTGAACGGATTTTCACCATTTTTTTTTCCTCTTCTACCAAATTTTGAGCCGAATTTCCTGAATTTGATGAATTCACTCATTTTTTCTATTTCCAGGCACGGTGGGCGCGCGGCTGCTGCTCCTGCCCCTGGTTCTCCGAGGTCAGCGCGAGGCCGCCCGGCTCTCCCGGCACCTCCCCCACCTCCAGCGCCTCTCGCGCCGATTGGCCGAGGCCCGCAGGGGGGCGGACCCCAACCAGGGTGGGTGTGGCCAACCAAAAGGGGGGCGGGGCCTCGAAATTCCGGGAGAAAACGGCGAAATTTGGGGGAAAAACGGTCAAAAAATGGGGTAAAAATGGTAAAAATGATGTGAAAGGGGCGTGGCTTAGGGTTTGGGGGCGTGGCTTAAAGGTTGGGGGCGTGGCCAAAAAGGTTGGGTGAAATTTGGGTGAAAATTGGTGAAATTTGGGTGAAAAACGCTTTAAAAATGGGGTTAAAATGGATAAAAATGATGTAAAAGGGGCGTGGCTTAGGCTTTTGGGGCGTGGCTTAAAATTTGGGGGCGGGGCTTAAAAATTTGGGGGCGTGGCCTGAAAATTGCGGAGAAAACCAGTGAAATTTGGGTGAAATTTTGGTTAAAAAAGGGTGAAATTTGGGTGAAAAATGGTAAAAATGATGGGAAATGGGCGTGGCTTAAAATTTGGGGGCGGGGCTTAAAATTTTGGGGCGTGGCCTGAAATTTGGGGGTTGTGGCCTGAAATTTGGGGAAAAAACAGTGAAATGTGGGTGAAATTTTGGTAAAAAAAGGATGAAATCTGGGTGAAAAATGGTAAAAATGATGGGAAATGGGCGTGGCTTAAGGTTTGGGGGCGTGGCTTAAGATGCTGGGGGCGTGGCCTGAAATTTCAGGAATTTTTGGCAAAAATTTGGGTGAAGATGGTGAAATTTTGGTAAAAAACGGTGCAAATTTGGAGTAAAAATGGATAATAATAGGATAAGTGGGCGTGGCTTAATGTCCGGGGGCGTGGCCTATGTGGGTGTGGCTCGGAATGGGCGTGGCCTCAAAATGGGGGCGGGGCCTGGCAAAAATGTGTGGGAAATTCGGTGAAATTTGGGTCAAAAACTCCCCAAAATGGGGTAAAAACCTGGAAAGGGGCGTGGCCTCGCGTGACTCCGCCTTTTATGGGCGTGGTTTCACTGTGTGGGCGTGGCTTGGTCTTATATGGGCATGGAGGGGGCGTGGCTTCCTCTTAAAGGGCCCTCACGCCATTTTTAACCCATTTTTTGCCATTTTTAACCCATTTTTTTTAACTTAAAGGGGCGTGGCTTGACCTGGGGTGGGCGTGGTTTGTTTGCCACGCCCCCTGATCAGACCACGCCCCTTTTAAACCCTCTGTGCCTCCTCTTAAAGGGCCGTCACCCCAATTTTCACCATTTTTTGCCGATTTTAACCCAAATTTTTTTGTTTTAAGGGCCGTGGCTTGACCTGGGGTGGGCGTGGTTTGATGGCCACGCCCCTCTGATGAGACCACGCCCCTTTTAACCCCTCACTGCCTCTTCTTAAAGGGCCCTCACCCCATTTTTCACCAATTTTAATGGATTTTAACCCATTTTTTTTTACTTTAAGGGGCGTGGCTTGACCTGGGGTGGGCGTGGTTTGATGGCCACGCCCCCTTATCAGACCACGCCCCTTTTAACCCCTCACTGCCTCCTCTTAAAGGGCCCTCACCCCATTTTTTACTCAATTTTCACCAAATTTAAACAATTTTTATTATTTTAAGGGGCGTGGCTTGACCTGGGGTGGGCGTGGTTTCATGACCACGCCCCCGATCAGACCACGCCCATTTTCCTTCCTCTTAAAGGGCCCTCACCCCATTTTTTACTCAATTTTCACCAATTTTTGCCAATTTTAACCCAATTTTTTTTTATTTTATAGGGCATGGTTTGACCAGGGGTGGGCGTGGTTTGTTGGCCACGCCCCCTGATCAGACCACGCCCCTTTAAACCAAACCACGCCCCTTTTCTCTTCTCTTAAAGGGCCCTCACCCCATTTTTCGCCATTTTCACCGATTTTAACCCAATTTTTTTATTTTAAGGGGCGTGGCTTGACCTGGGGTGGGCGTGCTTTGTTTGCCACGCCCCCTGATCAGACCACGCCCCTTTAAACCAAACCACGCCCCTTTCCTCTCTTCTTAAAGGGCCCTCACTTCATTTTTTACTCAATTTTCACCAATTTTAACCCATTTTTTTAAAACTAAAAGGGGCGTGGCTTGACCTGGGGTGGGCGTGGTTTGTTGGCCACGCCCCTCTGATCAAGCCACGCCCATTTTAACCCCCCAGACCCTTTTCTTAAAGGGCCCTCACCCCAATTTTCACCAATTTTATCAGATTTTAACCCATTTTTTTTTTATTTTAAGAGGCGTGGCTTGACCAGGGGTGGGCGTGGTTTGTTGGCCACGCCCACCTGATGAGACCACGCCCATTTTTCTTCCTCTTTAAGGTCCCTCACCCTGTTTTAACCTATTTTTCACCAATTTTAGTGGATTCTAACCCAATTTTTTTTATTTTAAGGGGCGTGGTTTGACCTGGGGTGGGCGTGGTTTGTTGGCCACGCCCCCTGAGGAAACCACGCCCATTTCCCTTCCTCTTAAAGGGCCCTCACCCCATTTTTTACTCAATTTTCACCAATTTTAACCCAATTTTTTTAACTAAAAGGGGCGTGGCTTGACCTGGAGTGGGCGTGGTTTGAAGGCCACACCCGCCGGCTAAACCACGCCCCTTTAAACCAAACCACGCCCCTTTCCTCTCCTCTTAAAGGGCCCTCACCCCATTTTTTACTCAATTTTCACCAATTTTAACGGATTTTAACCCAATTTTTTCTATTTTAAGGGGCGTGGTTTGACCTGGGGTGGGCGTGGCTTGATGGCCACGCCCCCTGATGAGACCACGCCCATTTTCCTTCCTCTTAAAGGGCCCTCACCCCGTTTTTAACCCAATTTTCACCAATTTTAACCCAAATTTTTTTGTTTTAAGGGGTGTGGCTTGACCTGGGGTGGGCGTGGCTTGTTGGCCACGCCCACCTGAATAAACCACGCCCATTTTAACCCCTCAGTGGCCGTGGCCTACGCGGAGCTGGCGGCGTTCCAGCGCCGGCACGACGTGAATCCGCTCCGGGGTTTCCTGGTGCCCCTGGTGCAGGTGAGAGACCCCAAAAACCACGGAATTTCACCCAAAAATTTATCAAAAAGTTAAAAATAAATAATTGGAGGGATAAAAAAATAATTGGGTGAAATAAAAACACAAAAAATAATTGGGGGAGTTATGAAAAAAAAACCAGGGAGAAAATGAAAAATAAATGGGGGGAAAATTTTTCAAAAAAGGGGGAGAAAATTTCCCAAAAAATTTGGGAAAATTTGGGAAAAAATTCCGTCAAAAATTCATGAAAAATCCTTTCAAAATTGTTTAAAAAATCAAGAAAAAAATCTTAGGCAGTTTTAAAAATTTTTAAAAATCGTTTCTAAATTTTTAAAGATCAGGTAGAAATCATAAAAAAAAATCACAAAAAATTTGTAAAAAATCGCTTTAAAAATCCGTAAAAAATCCATAAAAAATCGGAATTTCCCCCAATTTTTTCCCAATTAATATTTTAATGATTTTAATAATTTTTGGGGTTCCAGACCTTGAAAATCCTTTAAAAATCACACAAAAATCACAGAAAAAATCATAAAAAATCACTAAAAAATCGCTTTAAAAATCCGTAAAAAACCCATAAAAAATGGGAATTTTCCCCAATTTTTTTCTAGTCATTTTTAAATTAATTTAATGAATTTTGGGGGTCCCAGACCCCCCTTTTTGTGTCGTTTTTCCTGGCCCTGCAGGGGATGGCGGCGGCGCCGGTGCCGGGGTTCCGCRGGGGGGGGCTCCTTTGGTTCCCGGATTTGGCCTCTCCCGACCCCCTCCATCTCCTCCCTCTGCTCGTCACCGCCTCCACATGGCTCGTGCTCGAGGTTTGGCCTGAAAAATGGGGATTTTGGGAAAATTGGGAAAAAAAAAATGGAGAAATTTGGTGAAAAAATGAGGATTTTAGGGCAAAAAATGGGGATTTTAGAGGGAAAAATTGGGGCTTTTAGAGGGAAAAATGTAGATTTTTGGGGGAAGAGGGATTTGGGGTGAAAAAAAAGGGAATTTTGGGAAAATTGGGAAAAAAAATGGAGAATTTTGGTGAAAAATTGAAGATTTTGTGGCAAAAAATGGGAATTTTGGGGGGGGAAATGGGGATTTTGGAGTGAAAAATGGGAATTTTGGGGGAAGAAAGTAAATTTTAGGAGGAGAAAGGGATTTGGGGTGAAAAAAGGGAATTTTGGGAAAATTGGGGGGAAAATGGAGACTTTTGGTGAAAAAAATGAGAATTTTAGAGCAAAAAATGGGGATTTTGGGGTGAAAATGTGAATTTTGGCCTCTCCCGACCCCCTCCATCTCCTCCCTCTGCTCGTCACCGCCTCCACATGGCTCGTGCTCGAGGTTTGGCCTGAAAAACGGGGATTTTGGGCAGATTGGGGAAAAAAATGGTGAAATTCCGTGAAAATTTGGGGTTTTTAGGGCAAAAAATGGGGATTTTA